ACCACTTGTTAGGTCAAATAGTCCCAATCTAATCACACCAATAGAAACAAAATCAAATAATCAATCAATCATACAAGAGACAATAATTTAATATGATTTGATCCACTGACCTATGTCAACGGATAAGAAAAAAAGATCTATTAGTTGTAGCAAATTACAAACATGCAACTCATATCAATCAGCACTCAACAATTAATACCCATAAACTCTCTCAATCTCTTATAATCCTATAGAGTATTCTCAACCCAAATAAATACAAACTCATATACACTTATGCACCTATATCTATATGAATCTTCTCAATCTCCTTTAATCCACTCACAAATATTCATACTACCATACCTATATAGACCATCTCAATCTCCTCTAATTCATTTAAACATATACATTCATAAGAATTTTAATCTTCCGTGGTCCTATAAGGTGTCTATTTCGTAAAATCCTATAATTTTCTTACATCTTTTTCTCATACTTAACCTTGTAGAGATTTCATTTATTTATAAGCATACAAACTTACCTATTAAGAATCTTTTTTTTTTTTAGAATTCTTCTTTTACAAGTCAAACTTGCCTATTAAGAATCTTTTTTCTCTTAGAATTTTTCTTTTGCAAGTCTTTTTATTCATTAAAGCAATATCTAGCCAATCCCAAATAAATCTCTTATAAGATTTGAGTCAATATTTTAATAGTTTTTGTTTGTCAGGTTTGTTCTTTCTTTTAAAAAAATATGTGGCTTTCATTTAGTGTTTGTTTAATTTTTTTATATAACTTTTCAAATATCAAAGATAAAGCAATTTTTGTCACCTTTATTTAAGTTGTTTAAAATCTTTGTTGTAAACTTAAAGATTTGATATCCATTTTTATTGGCAACTAAGAAACTGGTAATTTTTTGCCCTTAAAGATTCTAGCCCCCGTTTTTCAACTTCTAGAGAGAGAAGTAGCAAGAAAACAAAAGGAAGAGAGAGAGAACGAAGAAAAGTCTGAGAGGAAAATAAAAAATTTTTGTCTTTTATACCATTTAGCAAATGACATTATTTTGAGTAAAAGTAAATACTATGATCCACGTGTTACCCTAAACTCCAAATTCAACCCATGCCATTTGACCAAAATTACAACCCGTTCCAGTAGTCAATGCCTAAGTCAAGTCGAGCCGAGCTTAATTGCTTTCCAAGCCATTTCAGTTAGTTTCCATGCCTGCAGTTGAGCGTTGTTTCAGTTGCCAAGCCAAGTCGTGATTTTTTCATATTCTATTTTTTCTCTATTTTTTATGAGTTTTATCTATTTTATTATTTATTTATTTGTGATATATTTTGTTTGATTTTTTTTATACAAAAATTATTAGGGAAGTTAATTCTAAATTATAATAAAGTTTAAAATAAAATTTAATAAAATTTTGATAAATTATTTGAAGATGAAATTTTTAAAGATTATATATGAATAGTTTCTAAGAAATTTTTAGATAAGAAATCTTTCTAAATTTAACCCAAATAGAGAAAAAATTTAGATAAGGTTTTAATAACAATAATTAGTATTTATTTTCAAAGTAAAAAAAAATCGAAATATATTTAATAAAATTTTGAGATTGAATTAACAATTATCTGATAATGAGATTTTTAAAAATTTCAAATGATAATTTTTTAAAGAAATCTCTACATGAGTAATTTCTCTAAATTTAGTTCAAATAGTAAAATGATTTAAATGAAATTTCAATAAAAGTAATTGCTTTCATTTCCAAACCAAAAATATAAAAAAAAAAAATAACTTGCAAACTTGTTTGAAGATATATGGTAATTATTCAATGATGAAATCTTGAGAAAATTACAAATGATTGAATTTCTATGAGATTTTTAAGTAAAAGTCTTTTCTAAGGTCAATCCAATTTGTGGGAGAATTTAGATAAGATTTTAAATAATAATTGATATTTATTTTCAGTCTAAAAATTAGGAAATAAATAAATAAAATTTGACAATAAAAATCTAAATTCTAAGAAAGATATTTTTAAATTTGACTCAAATAATGAAAACTTTAGATATATTAAAAATAAAATAAAGTATAAATTTTGAGAATGAAATTTTTAATGATCGCAAATGGATGATTATTTAAGAAATTTTTAAGTGTGAAATATTTTTAAATTTGATGCAAATAGTGAAAAATTTAAATATATTTTCAATAAAACAAAACTTAATAAAAAATAATTGATTAAGTTTTTTTCTGACGAGGAAGCCTCTTTAAGAAAATAAATAGAATTCTTTGATACTCTTAAGATGAGAAAATATTTTTAAAAATTCTATCAAATTGATAGAGGAATCTTAAAATTTATTTCTGATATTTTAAACATTAATTTAACAAAAGACCATTAGAACCATAGATCCTTATAATAATTTTAAATTAAATGTTACCATCTTTTGGATGGACGTATGGGGATACCATAATCTTCCTTATATGTAATCAAACTCAGGAATCCAATCGGGTTTCAAAGACTAGAAACCCGAGTCAAGCTTGGGATTATCTATTTAAAAGGAGACAGATTTAGTTAGGTAGCTTATTGCACCTAGACAATAAAAAATTGATGGCAACTCTTGAAGTTATATCTAGCGATAATTTTATAAATCTATATGTTATGATAATAACTATTAGGATAGGATATTTCGAGTATGTTAAATCTTCTTAAACTTCTAAAGGTTTATACTTTATCACATGGCTCGAGTTAGAGATATATTTTCTCAACATAGACACATGAAACACACACACACACACATATATATCACAGTAAATCTTCAAAACATCCCGATATAGAATTCGGATGTCACAATCGAAAACATGTATTTTCCAATTCTTGCTTCTTAAGCCCAAAAATGAAAAATTCTTTCCTCGTAATAGTTAAATTCTAGCAATGAATTCAATGGAACACTTTTTTTTTTTTTAACAAGAAAGTTTAAGGTGAGGAAAAAAAATTTTAACAAGAGCAGATCATAAACACTAAAAATGACTTACATTAGATTTACAAGTCAATGACTTACATTAGATTTACAAATCATTTATCAAAGAGAAATTCAATCAACTTTGGTTGAACATTAACGAAAGAATATTTCCATATACACCAAATGTTATTTATTCGTCTGAACGTTTTTTTTTTCTTTTCACACGACAAAAATGAATGAACTTCGATAAAGAAACAATGAGTCATCATCATTTTAGGGTCAGAGAAACAAGCAAGACTTTTCATATTAGCAGAAGATCATAGTATATTTTTTCGTGGTCTGCCCTTTTATTTAATTATAAACTCTTATTTAAATATAACATGTAATTGAAGTTGATTTTGGTGAGCACTTGTTGACGAAGACTATCTCAAGTCCAAATTAAGTCAATGTTATATTCTCAACGACCTGGTTAACTTGGCTCACGATGCTTGACTTTTTCGCTAAGGAATCAATCAAGGAAGAGAAATGTAGTTGGAATGTGACACGAATCAAGATCGTTGTATGATCTGATGCAGGAGCAAAACATTGCAAATACAAGGTTTTTTCTTTTTTGGGTTTTTCTTAAAAACGTTTTAGCCGACACCTGATTAAGTTTCTCTTAGTTGGTATCCTAAAGTTTGCTTCAACCGTGGGTTTAAGAAACAAAATAATTCTGCTTTGGAACAGCCAGAAAAAGATAGACTGCTTTCGAAATTCTCATCGAAGATTGATTGTCTTACCAGTTATTGAACAAATTGTGCAGAGCAGGTGAAATGTGATCGAATTTGAAAATTTGTTGAGATCCAATTGAGATTGAACTCAATTAAGTGAACGATTGATTAATGAATTCAATTGATTGAATAAATTAATTTGATTTTAATACAAGTGTGTGTTGAGCCTAAAGCAACAAACCCATTGACGTAAAAGTAATATATTACAATAAACTTATAATAAACAGACAATAATCAATAATGTAAAAAAATAAAATTCATCAAAATTTATATGAAAAATCCTCCTGCATAAAAAAAAATATTACAGATTACTCGAAAAGTTTTCACATCAAATAATAGATATATAAATTTTTTTTTACTTAAAACTAGAGTTAAATAACAATAAGAGAGATAATTAGAAAAATTTCACTAAATAGATGCCTTAATAAATATATTTTAAATTTGTTCTTAAAAAATTTCAATTTCAATTTTCACAATTTAAAATATAAAACATTGAATTATAAACATATTAATAAAATTTCAACTCAATCAAACTACAAATCAATCTCCATTCAACCCTTATCAAACTAATAACTCTTCATTGTCCTTTTTTCCTCATCTCTTTTTCTTTTCTTATTTTTCTTTCTGTCTTAGTTTTTGCGCGGTTCAACTTTTTTTTTTTTTCACGCCACTTGACAATAGCCCTCCTTTTTAATTAAACATAAGGCTCCTAAGGTTATAAAAAGCAAAAGACCCATGGTCTTTAATTTGTCCAAAGAAATGGGCTAGACCCACGTTCTCAACAGTGTAAACACCCCTAATTATGATATTATTCTTGGCACCGAATTTTGACCCTCTCAAAGGGAAGGGCAGCTCGAATTCTTCAATGGGAACACTGAACTAGTTAATAAATTAATGTATAAAGCAATTGCAAGGAAGCAATGACAGCCTCAAATCTCAATCACCAAAAAAATTTACGCAAAATTTCTTGCCCTGCTTTTTATCATAGGCTTCATTCTGTCTAATTAAATATGATTCAAATTTATATTTTTATTTGTAAAGTCTGAGTAAAATAACCTAGAGCAATGTCTTTTGCTATAAAAAATTCTCAACGCAATGAATTAATTTTCAACACTTGATGACCTGAAATGTAATGAAAACAGCTTTAAAGACTCGGTTAATGTTGAAAACATACGTCCTCATTTCTCCAGTAGTAACTCATTGACAGGTTCACTCCCTTGTTTCTCAGCTTTCTTTTTCTTGAGAAAAATATGGTGATTGGGATGTTAAATCAAATCCTTTTACTGCTTTTAGCATTCTTCTATTTCCAGGTTGATTGTCTTCATTCATCAACTCATTTATGTCTCGCAGACCAGAAAGCTGCTTTGCTAGAATTCAAGAACACCATTTCTCTTTATGGTTATTGTGTTCAATTTATTTCCCCCAGGACAAATACCTACAACGAAAGCACAGATTGCTGTTCTTGGGAGGGAGTCAGCTACAACCAGTTGACCGGTCATGTAAACGCCGTTAATCTTAGTGGTAGCTGCCGTTACGGTTCTCTCCCTGCAAACACCAGCCTCTTCCAGCTTCAAGGACTCCAACGACTCCACCTTTCTGACAACAATTTCAACGGCTCTATCCCATCAGAGTTATTTCGTCAGTTAGTGAGTTTAACCCATCTTAATCTCTATCATTCTGGATTTTCTGACTTAATCCCACATGAAATCAGTCTCCTATCCAATTTGGTTTCACTGGATCTTTCCAGTTATTGCTTTCCGGCCAGCTTGAGATTTGATGCCCAAGCTTTTGACATGCTTGCACGAAACTTAACCAAATTAAGAAACCTTGCCCTTCAATGTGTAGATATGTCTGGTGTTGCAGTCACTTCCTTCGTAAACTTTAGTTCATCTCTGGGACGTTTGAGTCTCGGAGATTGTCAATTACATGGGCAATTTCCTAGTGAAGCTTTTCGCCTTCCATACCTCCAACACGTAGATTTAGATTGGAATCAAAATCTCACAGGTTTTCTCCCTAAGACATACTTGAGTCTTGCCCTTGAGTTGTTGGACCTTTCCTTTTGTAGTGGGTCAATTCCTGCATCATTTGGAAATCTCACTCAAATCACCTTCCTAGATTTTTCTGAAAATAATTTTGGAGGACAAATTCCAGATGTTTTTGAAACCTTAACAAATTCACTACTTTGATATTTTCTTCCTGCAATTTTAGTGGTCAAGTTCCATTAACTATGTTCAACCTCACACAAATTACCCATCTAGATTTGTCACATAATAGATTAGAAGGTGCCCTGCCAAATCATGTTAATCAGCTTCAATTGCTTGAAGAACTTTCGTTATCCAATAACCCTATAAGTGGTGGAGTTCCATCTTGGCTATTTTCTTTGCCATCTTTACGAAGTTTAGACCTCAGCTATAACAAACTCACCGGTCAGATTGACGAATTCAGAAGCCTAATTCTGTCCAATCTATTGATTTGAGTTCTAATGTCATTCATGGTCCAATACCCAGTTCTTTATTTGATCCTGTTAACCTTAGCGTTCTCCATCTTTCATCAAACAACTTGAGTGGTGTCATCGAGTCAAATATGCTCTTCAAACTGGAAAATCTTTATACTCATGATCTTTCAAATAATAGTTTACTATAACTAATCACTAGTGGCAATCATGTAAACTATTCCTACCGTGAACTTGTTAGAGTGTTATTCTATTCATGTAGCATAAAACAGTTTTTCGGACATCAAGGTTAGAGGTTTTAGATCTTTCCAATAACAAGATTACCGGCCGAATTTCCAAATGGGAAGCAGAAGGGTGGGTAGAATTGAACATGTTGAACCTTTCTTGCAACTTTCTTACCAGTTTGGAGCAATTTCCAGCAAAATATCTTCAAATTCTTGATCTTCATTCCAACATGCTTCAAGGGCCAATTCTCTCAACTTCTTGAATCTTCAAATGCCAAATCCACTACTATTCTTGATCATATTTTTTATTTCAGAGAATAAATTGACCGGAAATATCCCTTCCCTGATTTGCAATCGGACATCCCTTGTGGTTCTCGACTTGTCTAAAAATAGCTTGAGTGGAACTATTCCAGAATGTCTTGGAAATGTCAGCTATGGTCTCCAGTTCTTGAATTTGCAGATGAATAACTTTTATGGCGAAATCCCTGATTCTTTTATGAATAATATGTTGAGAAATCTTTTACTCAATGACAATCAATTGGAAGGATCACTGCCTCGATCTTCGGCTAACTGTAGTTCTTTGGAAGTTCTCAATTTGGGGAACAACAAATTAACTGATACCTTTCCCCATTGGTTAGCTTCACTTCCAAGGCTGCAAGTTCTTATCCTGCGATTGAATAGATTGCATGGTTCTTTGCCCAATTCCATAGCTTCTTCTGACTTCTCCACATTGAGAATAATTGATCTCTCTGGAAATGAGCTCACTGGCCCCTTGCCAACAAATTTATTCCAAAATTTGAGAGCAATGAAAGATGTACCTAAAAAGCCCCTGTCGTAGTAATATTTATTCAAGACAGATGCTCGAACTAGATATGTTTATGAGTACTACCAAAGTTCTGTGAATGTGACAACAAAAAGATTGGAGATTGAGTTGGTGAAAACCTTAGCCATTTTCGTAGCCATGGACTTTTCAAACAACCTATTCGGTGGACAAATTCCTGAGGAACTTGGAGAACTTATTTCGCTGCAAATGCTCATCTTCTCTCACAACAACTTCACTGGTCCTATTCCACCATCTTTAGGACATAAGGTAGCACTTGAATCGTTGGATCCCTCATCAAATAAGCTTGGTGGCAGAATTCCTTCCCAATTGACGAATCTGACATTCCTTGCAGTGTTAAACCTTTCAGAAAATAATCTCATCGGACCAATTCCCCATGGGAATCAATTTGATACGTTTGATAATGATTCCTACAGTGGTAACTTGGGATTGTGTGGCTTACCATTGTCAAAGCAATGCGATAAACGGGAGGACTGAATCTATTAGATGAAAGAGGGTTATCTTTAATATATTTTATGATCCAAGAGACCTAGACACAGTAAATCTCCATATGCAAAATCATATACATATATATATATATATACATTTGTATAATGTATATTCTATTATAATTAATAAATAAGACTAAAATCATGCATTTTATCAATGGCAATCAAATAGAATTGTGAGAAGCTAAAGCTTTTAATTGGTGCAAGAAATTATAAGAATTAATTTTCCCATATATTTATTTAGAAATTTTATGATTATGCAGTTTGAGAAGGCCATTGAATGCTACATGAAGCAGCATGGAGTTTCAGAAGAAAAGGCATGCAATGAGATCAACATGCAAACTGAGAATGCTTGGGAGGATTTAATCGGGAATTAGTACTTAGGCCAACATCTGGGTCCCCAATGCCCATCCTCACACGAATTCTCAACCTTGCAAGGGTGATGGATTTGCTCCACAAGGAAGGAGATGGGTACACACACGTTGGAAATGTTGCCAAGTGTGCAATCACTTCATTGCTCATTGATCCAATCCAAATTTGAACATCGAAGAACTTACAAATAATAATAAGTAAGAAACTAAAAAATAAAATTGTTCAAGCTGACAAGAATTGAAATCTTTTGGTGTTACATATGAGATGAAGAGATTCATTGTCAGAGTAATTTCTCTTTCTAATATTAGAATGTATTGCACGTTTATATAATTTTATACATGTTTAATTTCTTTTATCTTTTTTTTTTTTATTTGGGACTGATGTATATTTTTTGATGTATTTTTTATGACTCTATTTAATATTGTTAACATGTCTCAATTTTATTCAATTTTGTCTCTACATTTTTTCTTTAATTTTTTTTTACAAAAAAAATAACAAAATTAAAAATATAGTGATAAAATTCCATAGAATTAAAATATAAATAATAAAATTCAACATTAACTCATAATATAACGATAAATTTGACATTAATTTCTTAATAATTTGCTTACATTCATTTTCGACTTCTCGAGCAAAGAATATGTGAAGCTCAAAACATCAAGAAATTTGGACCTTCGGGCTCATTGGACTGGAACATGAATAAAGAAATTTCAGATATAGATCGTCTTTGCTGGTTGCTACTATTACATGGCCCAAGCTAGCAAAAAGACAGGTAGAGCTTAAAGAAGTTAAAAATTGGGCCTTTGGGTTTGTTGGACAATATTTTGGTTCACCTTTACAAATTTAGGCTTTAAAAAACAATGTTTTATGGGTAAAGTAGTTTGGAAGTGGGTTTTCTATTGGTCCATAAACCCTTTTATTCTGCTTATAAGCTTTTACTTTAGCTAACGGATTTTTGGTGTAAAGTTGATTTAGCTAATTAAATATCTATTCGCAACACTTTCCAACCAACCTATGGGAATATAAGGCAGAGGATCCTCTTCATTATTTAAAAATTTCAGTCAAAGTTTTCATTACTTTATATAAAAGTGATAAATACACTTTAAATTAAATCTATGATTAAAATTTAATAATTTAATTTAAATATAAAAATAAATAAAATTAATTAAAAAATAAAAAAGATTTAAAAATTATTCATTATATATTTAGTTGAAAGTGTATTTATTAATAAATAAATGAAAATTTTCATTGATTTTTAAATAGCAGAAAGGATCCTTTCTCGAGAATATGATTTTGGTGTCAACTTTTGCTTCTCCCAATTGCAATTAATGGGTTTTGGGGACATTTCTACTTCTGTTTTCTATAATTCAATATCAGGATCTTAGTTTGGTAAATTTACATTTTGTTCTAAATTTGTTGTAATCACATGAGAAATAAACTTAATTGATATCATGTGATAAAGTAGATTGTTAATATGGCAGATAGCTACTTTCTTTTTTTATATAGGAGATTGACGATTTAAAAAATAAAAAAATAATACAGATTTTAGAACTCAATCTTCAGAAATCTTTTTTTTTTATTTTTAAATGTACGACCACAACTGTTTTAGAAGTTCATAAATAAAACTTACCCATCACTACCTTAAATATGAAAGGGACTTGGAAACTCACATTTCACATTCATTGCTTGATCCAAATAAAAAGAAAAAAGGAAAAAAAAAACGCAATTGAATCTGGTTAAAAAGATTTGGAATATACCAAATAAATGTCACATCACCTCCTCAAGTTGGCAATCTCATTCAACAAAATAAATATTTTATTCCTTTAAGATAGTGGATTTGAAAGTGGATTTTCTTTTTTCTTTTTTCTTTTTTTTTTTGGTTTCAAAGGGGGCTAATGCCCGTATAAGGGAGAGGGGCATGGCCGGGATTGAACCCTCGCCTAAATGTCTTTCTAACGGTCTCTTAATTACTTGGGCTAAGAGGGAAAAGTCAAAAGTGGATATTCTTTGGTACATGATGTGGATTTTCGTGATTGAATATTAATACCTTCTTTAATAAACAAAAAAAATCCATACCATAAAACTTGAACCTAACATCAATTTAATAGAAAAAGTAAAAGGTTTGAACTCGGGAAAACTCGAAAATGAAATGGTCAGAATATTAAATAACTCAGATCTAAAATTGCTCCAAAACCAAACAAACAGGAAAAATCACAAACTCAATTTCGAAAAAACTTGTATTCCAAATAGTCTAAACATAAAATAATCCAAAGAATTGCTTGAATTTAAAATGATCTGAACTTTAATGTAACTTGAACCTAAAAAGCATATTAAAATGGTTATATTTTATATAAAATCTAAAAAAGATTGGAACTAGTGTAAAATCAACTTGATTCTAAAGCAAAAATATTCTGATTCAAAATAAATCAAATTTAAAATGTTTTAAATCCAAAATAATCTAAAATCGAAATAATAGCGTCCAGTAGTTTACCACATCTAATATCTAATAATACTTTTGTTTTATTCCAATGGGTTATTACATTTCTTTTTTTTTTTTTTTTCATTTGTCAGCATTGTGATTTCTAACCACGAAATGCTCTATAGAAAACAATTGAATTGACAAGAATGCAAATTAAACTTACTTTGTGGGCTAGATGGTAGAATTTCTTTCACTATACGAGTCTTTAAGTCAACCATCAGTTAGGCCACAATTATTTTATTCATGAAGGTACAAACATTGATGTCGACTGCAATAAGTTGGTCTTTGCAAGACTCGTCACAAGTATTATTTTCCAAGTATCGTTTAGTTTACGCAGATGACTTAATTATGACCACCAAACTAAGTCCGTCAATGATGGACTTGGACAAACAGAAAGATCGTGGAAAAAAGGAAGAGAAATTTTAGTTTGTGACGCGCTGCTTGTGCTTTGACCATTTCTATATATATATATACCAAACTAAGTCCGTCAATGATGGACTTGGACAAACAGAAAGATCGTGGAAAAAAGGAAGAGAAATTTTAGTTTGTGACGCGCTGCTTGTGCTTTGACCATTTCTATATATATATATATATATATATATATATATATATATATAATATTAATAATTTTTGTATTTATATTATATTTTATATTAAAATTATTTATTATAATTTTTTAACACGTAAAATATAAAATATTTTAAAAAAAATTTAAATATAATTTTTATTAAAATTTTAAATTATATTATTTTAATATTTTATTAATATCATTTTCATATCTTATTTTGAATTAACAGCTTGTATTTTTCAGACTATTCATGTTAAACTAATTGGGCCCTTTGCTACGTACTTATTCTCCACGGCATTAAGAATATGAGACGTGGAAATTTAACCCTCTTCCTTCGTTACAGAAATAATAATAGTCATAGTCATTTCTGAACTATTTAATATTTTGTCGGAGGCAAAAGAAAATTCATGGCAAAATAACGAATAATTTTGCCTTTGTCACCATTTAAAAGAGAAGAGAAAAAAAAAAAAGAATCCTATGTAAAGAAGGAATAGAAAAACTCTCCGATCATGATGGGAAACATTCAAATCCTTCTTACTCTTATGGTGGTGATGTTGCTGTGCAACTTTATGATGATCTTGTCTATGAAATCAACAACCAACCTTAGTACAGATCAGTTGGCTCTTCTTGCACTAAAAGAGCATGTCATTACTGACCCTCAAAACCTCCTGGCAACCAACTGGTCTACTTCGGCCTCTGTTTGTGGTTGGGTTGGCGTGACTTGCGGATCTCGACACCGCAGGGTCACTGCTTTAAATCTCTTTGGCATGAATCTCTTCGGTACCATACCACCGCATGTCGGAAATCTGTCTTTCCTTGCTAGACTCAACATTGGAAACAATAGTTTTCGTGGCTCATTACCCATCGAGTTGGCTAATTTGCGTCGGTTGAAATCTGTAAGGATGTCTGACAACAATTTCGATGGGGAAATCCCAGCATGGTTCAGTTCCTTCACTCAACTTCAAGACTTAGTTATGTATGGTAACAACTTTACAGGTGTTATCCCATCTTCTTTGTGCTCTTTATCAAAGCTAGAGAATCTGCTCTTGGCTGAGAATAACCTAGAAGGTCAAATTCCTGAAGCAATTGGAAATCTTTCTAGTTTGATAGCGTTACATTTAGATTATAATCAGCTTTCAGGCTCCATACCTTCCTCAATCTTCAACATATCTTCATTAGTAGAAATTCGTCTCGCCAACAACCGGTTCTTTGGCTTCATACCCTCCATCCCACAACTCAAGATATCTTCCCTGCAAAGCATTGATTTAACATTTAATAATCTCACTGGTCTTCCATTGGATATGTTTGATCGTCTACCAAAATTACGAAACCTTTATTTGAGTTACAATCAGCTTTCTGGAGGAATTCCAATGAGCTTATTCAAGCTGAAAGAGTTGGAAGATTTATCTTTATCATTTAATAGATTGAAGGGGAAAATACCTAAAGAAATCGGAAATTTGACTATGCTTAAGCGACTTTATCTCGGTGTCAACAACTTTGAAGGTAAATGAAAATAATTATTACTTCCTTTATCTCATATATATTTTGATTTTACATGAAGTTTAAAAATAAATAAATAAAATGACAATAAAAGTACTAAATTTCATTTTGCAGGTGAAATTCCACAACAAATTGGCAATCTTTTAAATTTGGAGGAGATAAGCCTAACTAATTGCAAGCTAATAGGGCATGTTCCTCCTATTATTGGAAACCTAACACTTCTAAAATTGCTCGATTTTTCCAGCAATAACTTGACAGGTATCACATTTCTTTGTATCTATCTATATATGTTCAATTTTTGTATTATTCACACCTAGTCTACACTCCAGTCTTTGCGCTACAAAACCTAAACCAAAATAATCAAGGTTTCTTTTTTTCATTGCAATGATGGGATTGAGGAGATGGGAACTAGGAGGTGCATTAATTTGTGTGTGAGAGATTTTTCTTTTTCTTTTTTTTTTTGTTTAAGTGTGAGAGAGATTTAATGGTGTATGTTCAGAGTGAAAAAAAATAAAAAAATTATTCGAAATCGTAATATTCAATTTGATTCGAATCGATATTTTTTTATTCGATTCAAATCAAGTTCGGATATTAAATATACATATTAGGTTCAAATTTAATTTTGGATTGGGATATAAAAAATAAAAAAAAATAATTGAATTATATATTTTAATTAATTTTTATACATATTTTAAATTTTAAAAAAATAAAAATAATTATTTTATATATAAATCTAATTAAATATATTAAAAATTATATTAAAATGATATATAAAAAAAGAAAAAAATAAATAAATTTAAAAACAAATCAACAGAACCAAAATGATAAAATTTGATTTGGATTGAATCAGTTTCAAGGAAAGATCAGTTCGAATTGGATCAGGTTTAAAAATTAACAATATTATGTTTTATTCAAAAAAAATGAAATGAATTTGATCCGATTCGAACTGTTATTACCTCTAATAATCAGTTATAATTTGCTAATTTAAAAGTATATTTTTTCAATATACTTTTTCTATCAAAATTTAAGAAAAAAATAAAATAATGATTTAATGAAAATATTTTTATAAATGCCAATTTAATGTAGACATAATCCGAGCTACCCAATACCAATCCAACCTGAAGGGTCAAGAGAATCTTTATGGTTTTCATTTTCGCTCACAATGTCTTCCTTAAGCTATAATATATAAATATATATGTATATATCTTTTTCTTCTTATTTAATTTCCTATCACCTTCTAATTTTCATTTTATGATTAGAGAAATTATTTGATATATTATTAGTAAAATTTTGTAATTTTACAAGTAGAGTTAATATAATAACATAAATCTTATTTCTGTTTTAATTATTTTTTTTAATTTTTTAAAATAAATTTTAAGAAACATATATCATTCTATTAATTTCACTTATAAATTAAAAAAATATATTAACAATGTGTTTGATAATTTCTCTTGTGATTATTATCAATACCCTATTTTCTTTTGAGTCCCACCACGCTTGCCTTATTAGTTTTATTTCAAATATTTTGCACTTTCTAAGATGACATACAATTATTAAATAAATTTAAAAGTAAAAATCATCAATTCCTAAGTCAGTCAATTCATTCATAAATGAGATATTATGATTAAAATCAATCGATAAAAACAAAAGTGATGGAATCAATATTATTTTCCTATCTTTTTTTCTTTATAATTTCCTTCCTCATTTATTACCAAGAATTTTATTCTATTCTATTCATGAATCGGTCAACAAAACTAAGATGTACCATTTTTTTCAAAAAATTACTTAAGCTATCTCAATCGATTATTACTATTTTTTTGCCACAGTTAATTTATAATTATTTAGTTTTAACTATGTTTTTTTCTTGATTTCCTTTTGATATTTTTAATATAATAAAACATGATAAAGATAATAATTTCCCGGGGGTGGGGGGGGGGGAATGTGGGAGATTAGTACTCCCTCAAACATGGTTCTTTATTGAATTTTTTGTCAAATTAACTCAGTTTTAACCATTATTTATAACAAAATTATAAAATTAAAACTTTTTAAAAATAAGATTTACAATTTTAAAATTTTAACATTTTCGAAACATATATATATATTTTTAATTTAAATTTAATATAATATTTTAAAAAATGAAGGTCAAAGTTATATAAGTTGATTTGAGAAAAAAGGTATAAAGGAGACAATTATTTTGAGATGGAGGGAATAATAAATTGCATTTGCATGACTTTTTTTTATTCTTTTACTCTTCCGTGCTTGATAAAAAAAAAAGAGAATGGGCTTTTTTTGTTTGTTTGCTATAACTTTGAAATGATTAAGTGATCAATCTTGTTATTATACAGGTGAAATTCCGCAACAGGTCGGTAATCTTCTAAATTTAGAAGAATTTAACCTTAAAAAAAGTGATCTATCAGGGCCTATTCCTCGGACTATCAGTAACCTAACAGTTCTACAATTCTTCGATTTTTCCTATAATCGCTTGACTGGTAATATATCTCATTAATTCTTCATCTTTGTGTTTGTTTATGCATAAATATTGCAAATGTTTGAAATATTTTAATAGTATCATTATATCATTTTCACATTCTAATCATGATGTCCATGATGCATCGATAAATTTGATTTGAATTTATATTAGATTTGTCCAATTATATTTATATTGATTTATTGTTGATTTATCTAATTGGTTTATTTCATTAATTTAGTATATATAATGCATGAAATACTTGATTATGATTATAATTTGAATTTGTACATATAATTTCATAAGAAACCAGTAATTATATAATTTACAATTTAATGGAGTAAATGGATTTGAAACATTTTCAAAAAATTGTATATCTAAAAATGAAGTTTTAAAAGTCGTTGACTAAAATGAAATATTTTACAAAAATTACGAATGATAAAAGAATTTTATTCAATCAATTTATTTGAAACACTTCTTTATCAAATTAAAAAAAATAAATTAATGCTTAAATAAAAAAAATTATTAGCAGCATTTCAACCAGTTCAGTGTTCACTTCCTTACTATTTTCGAAAGAATAATATGTTAGAAGGTTCAACACCAATTACATAAAATAATAAAATTAAACAAAATAAATTCAACTTAGTTAGGTCATTGCTTATGTTAACATATTTTTTTATGTCATTACTTGGGTTTGCATGTTAGATTTTTTTAGCCTTGTAACTACTATAAATACCCCTTCCCATTTCATTCGTTTTGCATCAATTAGAGGAGAAATGCAAAGTGTTCTTCAAGCGTTCTTCCAAGTAGTAATTTTGTGTGTGAGTTATAGTGAGTTTCTATAAGTGTGAGTTGTTTTTGGAGAGTACTCTTTTTACACCCAAAATATTCAACATGATAATGGACATTTCCTACACGTAATTTCAATTTATTTTTTTCATCTTTTCTTAATTTGTTGTTTTCAAAAAATAAAAAATAAAAAATATTATTCATCCCATAATATTTGCATTACAATTAAAAATTAATCAATCATAATTCAAAATTAAGTATGATCCAACATAAAACCCACATTTATAAGTAGTGGATCTTACCTAATTTTTTGCTATAAGACAATTGCAAGATTGTAATAGAAAAAATAGTAGGTAAAATGCTCACTCACTTTTGTCCTAACATTTTTCCTTCTTATAATAATCTATTAATTTAATTTTAATATTTCATTTATGAATAAATTTACTTACCCATGAATCGATATATACCCTATCTTTTAATTTATCCAATAACTATATACCATGTCATATAAATATTTAAAACAAAATTAATGAGTCAAGTAGCATGACTAAAAGAAAGTAAAATCCAAAAAAAAAAAATCTCAAAAAACATCCTTAAAGACACTTTGGGCCTTTTTGTTTCAAAATGTAACTTTCGGTCCTTTAACCGCTAGAGTACCAATGTCAAAAAAAAAAAAAAAAAAACATAATTATTCTTATATAGTTGAAAGAAAATTTTAAAAAGTTAATTCAAATTTGTCAATTTAAAAAAATATATAAATTAGGAATAATTTTTAAATTTTATATTTCTTCTTTTTTTATAATTTTATTAGAATAATAATTTCAATTAGATTTATATTTTTTACTTCAAAATTATGAGCATTGGCCTGTTAATAAAACAATCTTAAGTGATTAATTTCTTTCTTCATTTTTTTTATAATGATGGATCTCTTTTATTTGTTTAAAAGTTGATAAATTTGAATAAAAATGTTTTTATAATCATTATTGAAATTAAAAAATATTTTCATCACTATATAATTAATTTTTTAATTTTAATTTTTTAAAAATAATTATATTTATCTCTCAAAGACCCAAAAGTTGCATTTTGATAGAACAAAATAGGCCGAGGTATCTTTTAGGGATTTTTTTAGATTTTACCAAAAAATATAGTGAGATTTAACTACTTGCCTATCACTATTTGCACATAGATATTATATATCTAGTCAAGTCACATATTGTAATACCCCAGCCCAAATAATAATTGGGCTAGACTAATACCAAAGCCCATCAGTTTATTAAGATATTATTTAGTAAAAGAAAAAGGGTTAAAGTATTAGATGACAAAAAACCTAGCTATCATGAAACAAAATGAAAATGAGTTTTTCTTTCTCATCTTTCTTAGGGTTAGAGAATATGAAAAATCAGGTTGAAGATTCACAATCAGAGGCTACAATCAAGTTAATTCCTTAAAGGTGAGTATATGCCCTCTTTTTATTTAAGAAGAAATATCAAGTTGAATGCTACTATTTGGAGTTGAAGTTTTGAGAGCAAAACTAAGAAAAATCATGAAATCTTTCATTAATCTTCATGATCTATTTGGATAAATTACTGGACTTTGTTTCTTTCATGTCCTTAAGATTTATTGATGATTATTGAATAGAGTCTAAAGGCTGAAAGTAAGGATTTGAGTTTTCTAAAGATTGAAGGAGAAATTCTGTTTTTAAATAAGATGCTATGATCTGCAATAGTAAATTAAAATAGAATTTTGTATTAATGGATAGATTATTGCTATGATTATTATATATTATTGGAAAGCATGTTGAATCTACTTTCTACTAAAACAAACGAAAGTCGAATCCAAGTTTGCTATGAAGAGTTGCCTAATTTTTACTTAAAGATGTGCAGGCTGCCTAGTAGTAGCAGCAATAGCAAGGAATTATGAAATTCTTCTTAATTTTAATACAAGGAATTACAGATTAAGCCATATATGTTTGGAAATCTTATTGAGTCTGCTTTCCAACAGAATAAGTGGGATTGAATTTGGAGTTTTCTGTGAATAAATACGTAATTTTTATTAGAAGGTATACAGACTGTCTAGCAGCAACATGTGACATGGATAGCAAAAATGGTTATAATTAATCCACAAGGAATCACGAGATGGGCTATACATGGTTAGAAAACTTATCAAGTCTAATTTCTAACGCATTAAAGAGATCCTAATTCTGATTTGGATATATTGAGATATGACTATTTTAATGAAAAGAGGTTAGGCTGCCAGTATTAATTAGTTGAGTTAACTCTTGTGTAACTTAGTTGATTTTTGTATTAATGGTCTCAAAAATGGTTGATTAAATTCTAATCTATTGAAATAATCTTGAATAGGCCATTAATTATTTTGGGGGAAAAACTAAGTGGTGAAATTGAAAAGAGATAAGTAGAATCTCACACACTTTGCTTGTTTTTGAATCTATGTATATATGTATATCTCTAAATGAATGAATATTTTATTTCCTTATTTTTGATGTATGAAAATAGGATCAAGCATATGATTATTTTGTGTTTCTCTATATAAATGATGGATAATGCTTATGAATGAAATAAGAAAATGATTTATGTTTAAAGTATGATTTTGTGATGGCTACGTTTTTTTATATCCCTGAGAAGTGGGATCATCGACACCAAAACTAGTTCAATGGCCCTGGCTAATAGGTTATAGTAGTTAGCAAAGACATGATCATACGGTCTTGCTAACGGGTTATAGTAGTTAGCGTAAGGCCTTGGCTAGCGGGTTACAATAGTTAGCAATGATCATGAGGATGAAATTGTCGATACGATTAATGTCACAGGTTATAGCAGTGGTCGTAGCTAATGATAAACTAATGATAATGATGATGATTTGCGATGATTTTTAATGATTGATCCATGATTTGGTTTGATTATGATATTTGAATGATAGTATATTTTGCAATGATTTATAAAGTGATATATTTTGACTTTGATTTATGACTTTATGAAATATTTGACAAAATGTTGATCTTGAAATGTTTTGACATTATGATTTGATGAATATTTTGAATGATCTATATGATATGTATAAAAATGATGTTTGATCCAGTAAAGTGTATAAGCCTATACTTACTGAGCTGTGGTTTGCTCATTCCCTTTTTATTTTTTCTTTACAAATGACTAAGTGATAAGTTTGGTTAGTCTTGTGTGAAGCTAAAAGATGAAATGAGAAAGATTACTTAGTCGTCGGAGAATATGTTGGCCAATGAGATCTTAAGAGATAGTTTTGTATTTTATATGGTTTGTATTTAGATAGATAAAAATATATTATCAGTTGGATTAAAGATATGGATTTTACTTGGTAGATTATTTTATTGAAGAATTTTAAAATATTTAAGAAAGAAGGCTTCGTATTATTTTAGGGTTTTCTTCAAGGTAATACGGCCGTGTTACGTCTTGATCTCGAGGCGTGGTACATATACCCTAGTTTTAAAAAAGTCACACATTTTTATTTGTCTCTCTCATTTCTTTAATCTACTAAAATTAATAATTAAAAAATATATAAAATTTTTTCAGTTTTACATTATATAAATTGATCATTTTTATATATATTCTTTAAGTACAAAATTAACAAAAATCATATAGTTCGGGTACCAAATCAGTATTTAATCTTTTGTTTTATTTAATTGATTTATGAATAAGACATTAAAAATAAAGTATCAAGAATTTATAAAAATTTGACAGTCTTATAGTCATGCGCTTGTTTTTGTCATTTGTTATTGCATCTAGAACAACGCAAATGTCTCTTTTGATTTTTGTGGGAGGCGAATTACCAGTTGAGATTGGCGACATGTCAAGTTTCGCTGGCGTGTATTTGTCATCTAACAGTAACCCGGTGTCATCCCTCCTCGAATATTTAATAGCTCGATTATGTGGGAACTTTCACTATCTTCAAACCGGTTCTTATTCAGTCTTCTATCAAGCATTTGGCTTCCCAAACTTGAAACGCTGCTTCTTGGAGGAAATAAGTTAATTGATTCATTTCCTTCTTCCATCTTGAATTGCTCTCTGCTTGTTTCCGTTGACCTATCTGAAAACTCATTTTCAGGATACGTTCCTCTTAACCTTGGCAACCTGAGGCAGATGCAATGGCTCACCATAGGGGAAAATAATTTCACTAGCGAACCATCATCCTCCGGAATGAGCTTTCTATCATCACTGGCAAATTGCAAAGACTTGACATTTTTTGGCAATTGAGAATAATCCATTGATCAGTGGTAACCTTCTGGTTTCACTAGGAAATCTCTCTGTTTCGCTTCAGAGTTTCATTGCTTATAGCTGCAAGCTGCAACATTAGAGGCAGCATTCCAGTTGAAATTGGCAACCTTAGAAACTTGATAAGATTGAACCTAGATAACAATGAGCTGATTGGACCTATTCCCACCACAATTGGAAGATTAAGAAAGTTGCAGAGCCTCTCATTTCAAGACAATAAGTTAGAAGGATCCATCACATGAGAGCTATGCGATTTGAACAGTTTGAGTTTCTTGTATCTCACAGGTAACAAATTTGCTGGGCCATTACCAGTATGCTTGGGTGATCTCGTTTCTCTTAGACATCTATTTTTGGGCTTCAATATATTTGTTAACTCAATACCCTCAACATTGACAACATTGACAAGGCTTGTAGGTTTTGTTACAACTAAACTTGCCTTCCAATTTTCTCACCGGAGCTCTCCCAACTAATATTGGAAGGTGGAAGGTTGTTAACAGTATTGATTTTTCAAGAAATCAATTATCAGGTGAAAGCCCGAGAACCATTGGTGATCTCAAGGACCTAATTTCTCTCTCATTAGCCGGTGATGGGTTGCAAGGGTCTATTCCTCAGTCTTTTGGTGGATTGATAGGACTGCAGTTCTTGGATCTGTCGAAGAAAATATCTCTGGAACTATTCCTAAGTCCTTGGAGAAACTCTTGTACCTCAAATATTTTAATGTCTCTTTCAATAAATTGCAAGGAGAAATTCCAATGGAAGGACCCTTTGCCAACTTCTCCACTCTATCGTTTATGGGGAATGAAGGGCTATGTGGTGCACCTCAATTGCAACTCCCACCATGCAAAACTAATTCTCTTAGACGTTCTAAAAAAGCTATTAAGCTTGTAAAATATATTGCATTGCCAATTGGCTCAACATTGCTAGTGCTAACCCCGATTGTCATCTTTTTGCGAAGTCGAAAAAAGAATACAGAGCTGCCAACTAATCAAAATTTGGAAGCTTTAGTAGAATGGAGAAGAATTTCATACCAAGAGCTTCATTATGCTACAGATGGATTTTGTGAAAGCAAATTACTTGGTGTGGGAAGTTTTGGCTCAGTATACGAAGGTAGTCTTTCACATGGACTGCACACTGCAGTAAAGTTCTTCACTTTGGAGTTAGAAGGTGCATTTAAGAGTTTTGACGTTGAGAGCGAGGTCTTGCGCAACATTCGCCATCGAAATCAGTCAAAAACATTAGTTGTTGTTGTAATGTTGATTTTAAAACCTTGGTACTTGAGTTCATGCCTAATGGAAACCTCGAGAAATGGTTGTGTTCTCACAACTATTTTCTGGATATCTTGGATAGGTTCAACATAATGATTGATGTGGCATCTGCATTAGAATACCTCCATCACGGTCAGACAGTACCTTTGGTCCACTGTGATTTAAAGCCAAGCAATGTTCTGCTAGATGAAGATATGGTTGCACATTTGAGTGATTTTGGCATTGCAAAATTATTAGGTGATGAGGACTCAACAATACAAACCATGACACTAGCAACAATTGGGTATATAGCGCCAGGTAATGCCTAAATTAGTTTTAAACATTTCAATCCCATTATGATGACTAATGTAACATTATTGTACACTTTGATGATGATTAATTTTGATGACTTTACACGTAGAATATGGATCAGAAAGAATTGTTTTTATAAAAGGTGATGCGTATAGTTTTGGCATTCTTCTAATGGAAACCTTCACAAGAAAGAAACGGACGGATGAAATATTTATAGGAGAAATGAGCAAAAGAAAATGGGTGAATGAGTCATTACCATATGCATCAATGGAAGTTGTAGATACCAATTTGCTAAACAATGGAGAGAACGGAGACATTGCGACAAAGGATTGTGCAATATCCATCTTGCAATTAGCGATTGAATGTTCAGAAGAATTACCGGAGGAGAGGATTGGCATGAAAGAAGTTGTCGATAAACTACAGAAGATCAAAATCAAGTTTTTAAACGAATCGAATAGGCGGTCCTCATGAAGAGACTTGTCATGTAGCTGACGTTTTTATTTGATCCTTTTGAGCTTATGGGTTTGTTTCCTAAATTTTCTATCTTGTAGAAACTATTTAGAATTCGAAATTAGCCATTGTTTAAAGCTTTGAGGTAATTGTTGGGAATCACCACAGTTTGATACCACTTGTTAGAGATCACAATAGCTCTAATATCACTTGTTAGGCCAAATAGCCTCAATCCAATCACACTAGTGGAAGCAAAATCAAATAAGCAATCAATCGCATAAGAGACAATAATTTAACATAGTCTAGCCCAATTGATTTACGTCAATGGATGAGTAAAAAATCTATTAGTTATAGAGAATTACAAACATATAATCTATATCAAGCACTCACAATTAATATCTATAAATACTCTCAATCTCTTTTAGTCCTATAGAGTATTCTCAACCCAAACAAACACATACCTATGTGCATCCATGCTCCATACTTATGTAGATCCTCTCAGTCTCTTTTAGTCCACTCACAAACATTCAAACATACACATCCGTAAGATGTAAATCTCTAGTAGTTTTATAAAGTGTCTATCGCATAAAACTCTACAACTCTCCTACATCTTCACCTATTTATAAACATACTAACTTACCTATTTAGAATCTATTTTCTCTTAGAATTCTTCTTTCAAGTCTTCTTGTCTATAAAGTAATATCTAGTCAATCCAAAATAAATCTTTTATGGTATTTGAGTCATTTTTCCCAACAATTTCCTCCTTGACTCAAATTCCATCAATCATCTATACAAGCTAGATATGTTTGACTCCACCTACAATGAAAGTCTCTCAATCATCTTTTTTTGTGTCTTCATGCTTCACGTAAATCAATATTCATGAACTTGAACTTCTTTCTTAAGTCAAGCTCTTATGAATTTGTCTCTTTCTATGACTCGAACCATGCTCTGATACCACTTGTTAGAGTCATCATGCTCTGATACCACTTGTTAGGGCAAATAGTCTCAATCCAATCATACCAATAGAAGCGAAATCAAATAATCACTCAATCTCACAAGTGATAACAATTTAACGTGATTTAATCCAATCGACCTACATTCAAGGATGAGAAAAAAATCCCTTGTTAGGGTCATCATGCTCTGATACCATTTGTTAGGGCAAATAGTCTCAATCCAATCATACCAATAAAAGCGAAATCAAATAATCACTCAATCTCACAAGTGATAACAATTTAACGTGATTTAGTACAATCGACTTACATTCAAGGATGAGAAAAAAATCCATCAGTTGATGAGAATTACAAACATACAATCCATATCAAGCACTCACAATTAATATCCATAGACACTCTCAATCTCTTCTAGTCTTATAAAGTATTTTCAAACTAAACAAATACATACTCATGTACACCCGTGCACCATACTTATGTGAACCCTCTCAGTCTCTTCTAATCCACTCACAAATATTCAAATATACACACTCATAAGACATAAATCTCCAATAATCTTATGAAGTGTCCATATCATAAAACCCTACAACTCATTTACATCTTTTTCTCATACCTAACCCTAAAGAGACTTTATCTACTTATAAACATATTAACTTATCTATTAAGAATTTTTTTCATTTTAGAATTTTTTACATGCAAGTCTTCTTATCTATCAAGCAATATTCAATCAATCCTAAGCAAATCTCTTATGAGATTTGAATCACTATTTCTAACAATAACAATTTCCTTTTGAGAGGAATCTGTCATGTCCTACTCTACTAGAAATTAAGACCAGAGTTTCTCATAAATGTGATTTTGATTCTCTGTCCTTTTGAGCTCCTAACTTGGATGACTAATTGCAAATTTGGATAAATTTAGTCTGTAATTTTCCTTGTCAAATTTACTACACCATCAGGATCAAAAAAAAAAATCCATGAATTTAGATATGTATATATATATATATATGATATATTAGTTAGAAAACTTTTCATATTTTCTTCTTTTACAAAAAAGACCCTAACCTTAAATAGAGAAAAAAAAATTACAGATATTAGATTTTAAACCTTAAATATACTAGGTGTCATCCCAAGATCCTCTTCTAGCTCCACCACCTATATTGCGAGAATTCTTCATGTCCAAAAGTCAATTGACAGGAGAAATCCCTCCTTCCAATTTGTAACATGACTTCACTTAAAATTCTTGATTTGTCTAGAAATTACTTGGGAGGAAGTATTCCGTTGTGTCTTGGAAATTTTAGCCATTTTTTCTCAACCATAAACTTACAAATGAATAACTTTCAAGGAAAAATTCCTGATTATTTTGTTGAGGATAATAGTTTGGCAATTCTTGCTCTTAACGACAACCAATTAGAAGGGTTATTGCCACGATCCTTGGTTAATTGTACTTCTTTGAGAATTTTAAATTTGGCAAATAACAAGTTAAGTGATACCTTTCCCCTTTGGTTAGGCATACTTCTAAATCTGCAAGTTAAGTGATACCTTTCCCCATTAGCAAATTTTATTTATTTTTTTTATTTACATATAATATATTAATAAAAGTATTATTTAATAATTTAATTTAATAAAAATTTACATTTATATATAATTAAATTATAATTTATATTAAAAATAAATATATTTATATTTATCTATATACTGTCATCTGTTAATATTTAATATAAAAATGTTACTTTTATCATATTTAAAATATAATTTTAAAAAATAAAAAATAATTCTACAGTTAAATGCGAATCTAATTCTATCATATATATATATATATATATATGATTTCTAATGACGATTACGGTTCTTTGATGAATGAACAATTAAAGTTGCATCCTCCACAAAAGAAAAGGCTTTGTAAAATGTGAACTAGACAGCACGATTGATGCTTTTTACTTTGACAAGAAACTGCCTTGCCCAATTTTGCCCCTTTTTTTTTCCTTCTATTTATTTGTTGTTAATTTCTATGATGTTTAATCTTTGTCGTGTCTTACACGGAATGAAAAATTCTATGATGTACAGAAGGAAGTATTCTTCTTTTCGACAGACAAACTAAAAGAGAGAACTCCCACTAGTTCATAACGACGAAAAAAGAGACAGAAGAAAAAGTCTACATCATGGGTTAAATATTCAAAAGCATAATTGAAAACACAAAATTAAATGCTTTAAAGAATAAAAATGAAGAGAGAAAGGGCGTGAACCAAAATCCAATTATTAAATAAATAATAAAATATTTTTTTTATATATATATCAAGATCGATTCCAAACATTCGAGATTTTATTTTATTCTGAGCTCAATTTAAAAAAAAAAAGATCAAAATCGATATCTAATACTCAAGATCTTATTTTATTCTAAATTTAATTTTAAAATAATCAATTCAAATATCTCGAATTAAAAAAATATTAATTTTATTAAGATGAATCGAAAGTCATAAAATATAAATTATTTTATTATTTTTATATCAATTAATTTTTATTATAAAATTTATCTAATAAAATATTAAATATTAAAAAATAAATACATTTTCTTATCGTGTTCTAGAAGAAATGGGAACGCAGTTATAAGTCAGTCATACGATAATAGATCACCGTATAACTCTACGTGATAAAAGGTAACTTTAATCAACTTTGAAAAGAACACTTCAACGTCTCATCAACAGTACTAAAATCTTTTTTTGATGTTACTACCTTAATTTCTCTCTTTCAACTTAAAAGCCCTTTATTCTTTGTGATTTATGCTGCTTGTAATATCAATTTTAAGGATTTTCATGAGAAGATCTAGTAAAATTTTCAAAATTAATTTGCTAGCTCTTGATGGAGAAAACACAAAGAAATTATTTATTATTATCCATGATTAATTATTGCAAAAAGAAATTTCGACAATTTATTTCTCAAACACAATTATACATACGTGTAATGAACTTATAGAGTAATTTTTTTCATGTTAAACTAATTGGATCCTTTGGTACATACTTATTCTTGACGGTACTGACAATATGATATGTGGAAATTTAATCCTTTTCCTTCATTACAGAAATAATAATAATAATAATAATAATAATAATAATAATAAAGCCATGGTCATTACTGAACTATTTAATTTAATATTTTATCTGAGGAAAAAGAACAGTCATGTGAAAATAACGAACAATTTGCCTTTCTCACCATTTAAAAGGACAAAAAAAAAAAAAAAAGAATCAATTTAAAGAAGGAATAGAAAAACTCTCCTATCATGATGGGAAACATTCATTTCATTCTTATTCTTATGGTCGTGGTGTTGTCTCCAACTTTATGGTGATCTTGTCTACAGATCGGTTGGCTCTTCTTGCACTAAAAGAGCATGTCATTACCGACCCTCAAAACCTCCTGGAAGCCAACTGGTCTACTTCGTCATCTGTTTTTGATTGGGTTGGTGTGAATTGCGGATCCCGATTCCGCAGATTCACTGCTTTAAATCTCTTTGGCACCATACCATCTCATTTCGGAAATATTTCTTTCCTTGCTAGCCTCAACATTGGAAACAATAGTTTTTGTGGCTCATTACCCATCGAGTTGGCTAAATTGCGTCGAATGAAATCTGTAAGGTTGACTGACAACAATTTCGATGGGGAAATCCCAACATGGTTCAGTTCCTTCACTCAACTTCAAGACTTATTTATGCATGGTAACAACTTCACAGGTGTTATCCCATCTTCTTTGTGCTCTTTATCAAAGATAGAGAATCTGCTCCTGGCTAAGAATAACCTAGAAGGTCAAATCCCTGAAGCAATCGGAAATCTTTCTAGTTTGAGTGCGTCACTTTTAGAGTATAATCAGCTTTCAGGCTTCATACGTTAATCAGTCTTCAACATATCTTCATTAGTAGACTCGCTAAGAACCGGTTCTTTGGTTCCATACCCTCCATCCCACAACTCAAGATATCTTCCCTGCAAAGCATTGATTTAACATCTAATAATCTCACTGGTCATCTGCCATTGGATATGTTTGATAGTCTTAAAAAAATTACGAAACCTTTATTTGAGTTACAATCAGTGTTCTGGAGGAATTCCAATGAGCTTATTCAAGCTGAAAGAGTTGGAAGATTTATCTTTATCTATTAATAGATTAGAGGGGAACGTACCCAAAGAAATCGGAAATTTGACTATGCTTAAGCGACTTTATCTAGGTTCCAACAACTTCAGAGGTAAAGGAAAACAATTATTACTTCCTCTATCTCATATATATTTTGATTTTACACAAAGTTTTAAAAAAAATTAAATTCAATAACTATAAAAGTATGGAATTTCATTTTGCAGGTGAAATTCCACAACAGATTGGTAATCTTCTGAATTTGGAGGTGTGAAGCCTATCTAAATGTAAGCTAACAGGGCATGTTCGTCCTGTTATTGGAAACCTGACACTTCAAAAATTGCTCCATTTTTTCAGCAATAACTTGACAGGTATCGCATTTCTTCGTATCAATCTATATATGTTCAATTTTTGTATTGTTTACACCTCGTCTCCACTCCTGTCTTTGCGTTACAAAATCCAAACCAAAATAATCAAGGTTTCTTTTTTTCATTTCAATAATGGGATTGAGGAGAAGAATGGGAACTAGGAAGAGGCGCATTAATCTGTCCGTGAGAGATTTTTATTTCTTTTTTTTTTTTTTGAGTGTGTGAGAGAGATTTACTGGTGTATAACCGGTTATAATTTGCTACTTTAAAAATATATATTTTTTAAAATTTACTTTTTCTATCAAAATTTAAGAAAAAATAAAATAATGTTTTAATGAAAATATTTTTATAAATGCCAATTTAATGCAGACATAATGCACTACCCAATGCCCATCCAAACCCGAAGGGTCAAGCCTTCATAAATAATCTTTATGATCTTCATTTTCTCTCACAAAGTCTTAAGCAATAATATATATCTTTTTCTTCTTATTTAATTTCCTATCATCTTCTGTTTTTCATTTTGTTATTACCCTATTTTCTTTGTCTCTTATTGGTACTCCCTCAACCATTGTCTCTTATTGGTTTTTTTGTTCAAATTAATTGAACTTTAAACATTATTTTTAATAAAATTATAACATTAAAAAATTTTAAAAATAAGATTTACAAATTTAAAATTTCAAAATTTTCAAAAAGTATTTTTTAAAAATTTTAATTCAATATAATATTTTTAGAAAATGAAGGTTAAAAGTTACATAAGGTGATTTGACAAAAAAAAGTATTTAAAAAAAAAAAAAGAGATGGAAGGAGTAGTAAATTGCATTAGCATGAATTTTTTTTTTTTTTTTTTTACTCTTCCGTGCCTGACAAAAAAATAAAAAAGGAGATTGGGCTTTATTTTTTGTTATAACTTTGAAATAATTGAGTGGTCAATCATGCTATTATGCAGGCCAAATTCCAGATTGGTAATCTCCTGAACTTAGAGGAATTAAACCTTAAAAAATGTGAACTATCCGGGCCTATTCCTCGGACTACGAGTAACCTAACAATTCTACAAAATTTCGATATTTCCTATAATCATTTGACCGGTAATATATCTCATTAATCCCTCTTATATGTGTTTGTTTATGCATAAATGCAATGTTAGAAATATTTTAATACTATCATTATATCATTTGCACATTTTAATCATGACGTCCTTGATGAATTGGTAAATTTGATTTGAATTTGTGTTAGATTTGTCTAATTATATTTATATTTATTTCTTATTGGTTTATCTATTTGGTTTATTTCATTAATTTTGTCAATATAAAACATGAAATATTTAGTTGTGATTATAATGTGAATTTGTACATATAATTTAATAATAATAATAATTTACAAGTTAATGGAATGGACGAATTTAAAACTTTTTAAAAAAGTTGTGAATCCAAAAATTAAGTTTTAAAAATCGTTTATTAAAATGAAATACCGTACAAAAATTATGAATGATAAAGGAATTTTATTCAATTAATTTATTTGAAACACTTCTTTATCTAATTAAAAAATAAATTAATGCTTAAATAAGAAATTATTAGTAGCATTTCAACCTGTTCAGTGCTCACTTCCTTACTATTTTCGAAAGAATGATATGTTAGAAGATTCAACACCAATTACATAAAATAATAAAATCAAATACAATAAATTCAACTTAGTTAGGTCATTGCTTATGTTAACATATTTTTTTATGTCGTTACTTAGGTTCGCATGTTCGACTTTTTTAACCTTGTAACTACTATAAATACCCCTTCCCATTTCATTTGTTTTGCATCAATTAGAGAAGAAGAAACACAAATGCAAAGTGTTCTTCAAGCCTTCTTCAAAGTAGTATTTGTGTGAGTTATAGTGGGTTTCTATAATGGCGAGTTATTTTTGGAGAGTACTCTTTTTACTCCCAAAATATTCTACATGATAATTATAGACATTTAATTTTTTTCAAAATAATATAACAAATTTTGATGTAATTTTGATTTAGGGTATATCAATTCTGACCATTTTGAGTGCCTTAATTTCGTATTAGATTTAAGCTTGTTTTTACATCAACTAAGACCTAATTTAATTCAATTTTGAAGTCAATAAAACTAATGACCCAACATAAGCCAAGTCATTTTTTTGAGTCCATTACATTACCTTTTAAAAACCCAATACGTAATCGATTATGTGACTCATAATGTGAGCTATTTAAAAGTTTGTTATACATCTAATTACAAGCTTAATTTAATTTAATTTTGGAGTTAACGAAACTAAAAGCCCAACATGAGCCGAAGTCATTTTTGAGCCCATTAAATTATCCATTTAAAAGCCTAATATGTGGTCGATTATGTGGTTCATAATGTGATTTATTTAAAAGTTTGTTTTACACAGCTCAATTACAAGTTTAATTTATGACCCGCTCTAGGTTTCATTTAGAAAGCCCAAACAAATTATGTTGATGGAAGGAAGAAGGAAAAGAAATGGCCCTTGTTATAGGGCCAAATATGGTCCGAATGATGAAGGCCTAAACCCAAAAAGAGGAAGCCGAAAAAAGAAACCAAAGAAGGAAGCGGAAAACCAAAAAGGGGAAGGAAAAAGAAGGAAGAAAAAAAAAAGGCCCAAAATAGATAATAAAATTGAAAGGCATGACATAAGCCCAAAACAACCCGAAGAGAGGAGGAAAATGGAACCCATTCGGGTTTCACGCAGATGCATGCAGGAACCAGGGGACATTCAACTGGAAAAAAGCTGATGGTCTGATGCAAAAAAACAAAGTAAGTGCTCTGCAAATGGTGGTAGAGTTGGGGAGAAAACAAAAAAGGACCTGGGGAGGAAGGCATGGGATTCATGAAGATTTGCTGCTATAAATGATAGAGGGCCGAGAGCTTTGGGGGCAGGAGGCAAAAAAAAAAAAAAAACGAAAAAAAGAGAAGGGCTCTCGGGCAGCCACAAACGGAAAGAAGAAAGAAGGATCTTAGGAAACCAAAAACCAAAAACGAAAGGGAGGATTCAAGGTCAGCTATAAGCAGAAACGAAAGCATTTTCTAAGAAGAGCCATAAACAAAGACGAAGGACGTAGCTTTCGGCATAACTGTTTCCTTTTTCATGAAAGCTTGCAGCTAGCTTTTTTCCTTCATTCTGTTTTTTTTTTCTTGTGCATGGTGCCTCTTTTTTTTTTACGTTGGTTGCTGCGTATAGGAGCTTTATGGCTTCCCCCCGTTTTTGATATATTTGCTGGTTGTTGTATTAAACAAAATGGCATTCTCGTTTAGAAAACTAGAAATCAGAGACCAAAAAAAAGAAAAAATGCCTTCTGCAGAAAAAAAAAGGTTTCGACCTTGTTCGAACGTTCATAGAGCCTCCTTTATTCTGTTATAGTTTGGCTTGGACACCTAGCTTCTTTTGTCTATCCGAAAGTACCCTTAACTTGTTTGAAAGCCCATGCTCTATTTTTTATGGAAAAAGGAGAGAAGAAAAAACAAGTCTGTGGGAAAAGGGTTTCGGTTCTGCATCGATTTACTGCTTATGAGAGTTTAAAGTCCATCCTTTGGTTTATGTTTTCCGGCATATAAATGATGAAAAGAAGCTTCCTTTTTTCTTTGAAAACCGAGTGCTACTTGGGAGCATAGAAAGAAAAGGTTATGGAAGCTTTAAGGACTAGTTTTTTTTTAAAACCTGGTTTTGCTTTTAACTATCGAGGGGGGAGGGGGTTAGTACATTGTTGGCGTTTGTATTTTCTGGGCTTGATGCTAAAAGGAGACTTATTTTTAAACCAACAGCGGCCCTTTTAGAATAGGTGAAGGGAGGTGGCTAAAGGATTTTTAACGCCTTGAAACTGACTTAGGTTAGGTTCAGTTCAGACCGATTGCATGATTTTTTCTATGGAAGGCTTAAGGCTTGTTTTTCTTATGTTTGCTGGCTTCTTTCGGTGTGTGGCATAGGAGTGGAAGCTTAAAGCTTCATCCTTTCATGCTTTCCAACCTCTTTCTGCGCGTGATCTATGTAAGGAAGCTTAAAGCTTCATTCTTCTCATGTCTGCTGTTTCTTTTCTTCTCTATAAATTGTCTTGGAACCTTAAAGCTTTATCTTCGTGCCATGATAGTTGGTCTGCTATCCATGCGGGTTGTTCATATATAAGTTTAAAATCTCATCCTTTATTTGTGGCTGATAACGTTGAACGGTGGAGAGAAAACTTTGTTAATGAAACCGGATCCTTAAAAGGGTTACAGAGGGATTTAAACTTTCGGTCCATGTCATGGGTTGGGCTGGGCTGCATGTGCTGATTTTGAGTATAAAAAAGGGGTTTCCTTTTGCTGTAATAACAAGTTTTTCAACAAGAACGAAGAAATGTTTTTGGAAGTTCATGCCCAAAACGAAAATCTATTTTGAAAA